TTGTTTTTTAAGAACTGCCCGAGAGAAACTGTGACGTGAAAAGACAAACTTCATCCCCTGGGGGCTGAGAACTGCTTAGACTCCAGCAGGCAGCCAATCCCAAGAAACCAAACAGCAACAATTTTAGAAAAACAGACCTGCCTGAACTGGGTCTTTAGAAAGAGATCTGGTTTGGACTCTCCTTTATAGCAGGCTGCCTTGCGTGACTTTAAGACGCAATCGCAAAGACAACTGTGCTGCAATCAATACTTTAGGTCCATTAATCTTCAGAGAGATATGAAGCGTCTCGGTGGAGTCCTGCCCTTCCCTGACTTCATCCACATTTCCGATTTCCACTAAACCTCTCTCTCCTTCCACAATGCCAGTCCTATTTATCTAACACAGGGTGAGCTTGCCTGCCAACCAGAAGTTTATGCAGACAACCGCAACAGAGCTTGGTGCCAGCCTCAAATGGGCTTCTGCCCTGGCAGTCTGCCACTCAATTACAAGCAACAGGCATGCAGAGCTGTGTTAAAAAACTTTTGATATTCCCTTCCATTTATAAAGCAAAAAATCTCATAATGCTGAATGCCGAAGGATTTCAAACATTGAGAGGATCTGCACAAACCACACGTGTCAAAACTGCTCTGCGCCCTTTTTCATCAGAAATTAAAAATTTCCTACGCTCCTCTGCTACAACCTCTACTAATCTTAAATGCATCATCCCTCGGAATAGGGTTGAGAACCAGCCTTACACTTTTTTCCCTGTGCCACATAACACTATCAGCGACACTGGGAAGACCGCCTGAGAAGGTGCTCACTAGGCAAGGTGGGCAAGACCTCCAAACTGACATCCCTTTCTGTTCAGATCCATCCCAAAATGTTCAGGTCCCTTGTTGGGAAAAGCCAGCAGTTGCAATCACCATCCCTACAATGCACCAGCAGTGTAACAAAGGCGAGAAACATTTCCCCGGAGAAAGAGTTGTTTTCCCTTTTTATCTGAAGACAGTAGCCTCTGTTTAAAGGTCTACTTACCAGTTGGTTTGAGAAAATCCATTGGATATCTGGAGTAGGGCGGAGGGGGAGACTCTGGAATTAGAAAAGGACAGAGAAAATAAAGGCAGAGCCATGAGAAAAAAAAGATAGGAACTTATGATAACAGTGGCATTCTTTTAGCAAAACTGTTTGTCTTAGCTCTGGGGGTTGGAGGCAGGGCAGCTAAGCGGCGATTGCCTTGATATTTAGCTGTCAGATAAACAAAAGGGGCCGCCTGGCGCCAGTCTCCCTGCTATCTGCTACTCTGGCTGTCTGATCAGGGCCTCCTTGGCTCAGCTAAAACACTCCAGCTCTGGAAATCACCAACTGATCCCGACTGCCAGATAATCCTTCCTAGCTGCATACACATTTAACATTTCACAGAAAAGGGGAAAAAA